TCATCATTTTTCTTCTTTAGATCTTCCTCAAACAGCTTAAGGCCTAAACCAAATAGATGCAAGTGATGGTTGATTTCAGGTGCCATTGGAATTCCCTGTCTTCTACTTTTTTAGAGCCCCTTTCCCTATATGTAACCTTGTTTCCTCATCATCAATACAAAAGGTGCCTCAATATACATTTCTTCACTTTTGGCCATCACAGTTTGGACCAGCCAAGCTTCTGCCAATGTGAATACAGTGATAAACACATCCTCATCCCCTTGTTGAATCTCTAAGACTAGTGTTGTTACATGTAGAATGGGATAGATAGACATGTCACCATATATGCCTACTAGTCCTCCCTTACACTCAAATTTCACATTCTGATGGAATTAATTGGTGAAGCCACGATCTAACCAATGGCATGTTGAATGATGTAGGAACATCCATGATATGAAACTCAACTTCTTGTTCCAATGGTCCAATTTTTACCCCCAGCTTAACTGTTCCCACCACCGGTTTACTTGTATTGTCATAAGCCCTCACGGCCTAGGATATTGGTTTGAAATCTATATGCCACCATCCCATAACATATGATGTCCTAGCTAGTCAAACATTCAATGCTGACCTAGTATCGATTAGTACTATCGACATCCATTTGTTCTGAGTTTTCAATGAGACATAAAGAGGTTTGTTATCATTGGATCCTTTTGGTGGCAAGTCGTTAGCAGGGAATGAGATGACTGGAGCATCTCTAGAAGTAGGAGTTCTCCACGATACCGGTTGGTCAGGAGTAGTGCCAATGTATAGCTTCACCTTGCTGAGCGCCGAGAGTACAGCTTGGTAATGCTCATGAGATGCCATTAACAACGACCAAATCGAGATATCTGCTTGGATCTTCTTTAGTTTTTTAAGCGCCAAATCTTCCTTTTCTATCTTTCATTTTACTTTCTCTACCTTTTTACTAAATGGTTCTCCTTGCTCTAAGTGTGGAGGGTTGAAATATTATTCTGGTTAGATGGTCAACCTCTTCATAGTACCATTCACCATTTGGTACATTCTCTGCCCAGCTTTCATCTGTGTGAGCAAGGTGTCAATCATCATCTTCCTACCATTCCCCTTATTTTATCATGGCAAGGCAATCATCAAGCTAAATGTCAATCATTCTAATTTCTAAGTTATCCCCTGCTTGGTAAAATTTTATTTCTTGAATTCTTTTATGATATCAGCCCGGGCAACATTCATATTTTGTATTTATTCAGGTTCCCCAATAATCATCATCTCTTCCATCTTATCTGGCTAATGAAACCAATTTGGTACAGTAGCTAGCTATGGTATGCCATTCAAGGAAAGGCCTTTCAAACTTTCAGGAAAGAGGGTCTTCATTACTGTTTTCTTCGTACTCATCACCTTTGCTCTCTATGTCTAGTCTCATGTCCCATTGTTCTTCAACTTCTCTTATAGCTTTCATTTCTTTAATTTTATAAGGTTGATCAAACCAGTTGGGTACCGTGGTTGCTGTGTGCCATTCAAAGATTGGCATGGCAATTTCTGAAGACCCTTTATCAAATCCTTCTCCTTTAACAACTTCTATTTCCATCTTGTCATCCTCATTCTCAATAGATTTCTTATTCTTCCTCTTCTTCTCAAGATGTCCAATTTTCAAGGGTTCATCATTACTCAATTGTTCCTCTTCTTGCTTGATTCTAAGTTTCTCAACCTTTTTTCTCACTTCCCTCACCATCCATGCTTTCTTTGGTTTGACTCTCATTTTTTGTGATGACTCCTTTCTCGTCTTCACCATCTATTTCTTTCTCATTCTCTTACCATTTAGTGTCCCATCCATCACTTGTTTCTAAACCATATGGATCTTGTAAATGCCCCCAAAATAATAACAATAAACATCCCCATAATATTCATCCAAACTGCGAAAACTAATGTGATTTTGGTCTTTCATTGATTCTCTTGAATAGTACAAAACACATGCATTTATACATTCATAAACCCTAAATCTTAAATCTATAGCATGTGACATATATAAATATTTTGAACTAAATGCCCTAGTGGCTACATATTCCCAAGACGATGCTTGGTTACACCAAAAGTGAGTCAAGCCCAATATATATAAAGCCCTAGGCTTACACAAAACAATATTTTCAAGAAACAAAATAAAAGAAGCTCCTAGCTCCAAGGTCCTTCCGAGCTAATTTCCTTGGCGGAGCCATATCATTAGTAACTAAAAGCTTTGTTCCACATAGGGTGAGCTACGCCTAGTAGAGATTAATTTAGTATTCTACATGGTTCTTGACAATGCAATATGATGAATGCACATGAATGCGATTTACCAAAACGTTATTTCTTTCCTTTTTCAACCAATGTAATGCAATGTTTATTATTCAATGTAAGAATCTTTATTTTTGATATAGAAAACAGGATAGTGGACACACAACACTAGGAATCTCTAGGTACGTGTCAGCCAGTAGGCTTTACAAGCACTGCCAAAGCTGTTATACGGGTACTAACTGGAAGGATTGGCACCAAACCACACAAGTTTCTAAACTTTCACCAAGGACACTCGGGCCAACATAATATAAACCACAACCACATCCCCTAACCGGATTCCGCAAGGTATTTACCCATTTTTTTCAAAACAATACATTTTTAATGTATGATTATAAAACAAACGCTAAAATGGAAGATCCATGAGTAAATGGTTTTAGTTAACCAAGTTCTCATGCAGTTTATACAACAAACAAAGCTATCCTCCACCCATAGCCTAAAATAGATATCTTTATTCAAACGATAAATTCAAAACAACAAATGTAACTTTTCAATTTCAAAATTTGGAGAAACAATACATATTCACTCTACCATTCATCCCAAAATCCTTCTTCTATAACTCATTTACAAATCCAAACTAAATCCACATTAGTTAAAATCAAAACCCAAACGCCCATTAATCAGAAGCACATAACAAAGCTAAAAATCATACAAAGATGTTGAAGAAATCTCTACCTCAATGTTCGAAAAGAAGCTAGATAACCCAAGAATCAACAACATTGGGAACTAGAAATTTTTAGATTAAAATGTAGCCCCAAACTTGCTCTACACTAAAGTCTCAAACACTAGGGGTAGGAGGTAAGTATAACTAGATGAAAACCGAATTTTTAGAGCTGAAAGGGTCGAAAATGGCAATTTGGAGAGAGAAGAGAAGACGATGAGCTAAAAAAGTATATATCTTCCACTTTTGGAAGTATATATAGACAAATAGACTGCGGACGTGAAAGACACGATCTCGGCCACGAATAACCATACTGCAGGCACAATCCTCAAATCGCTGTTGTGACAATCCCATCACATATTATGCTCTTAATCATTAATTTTGAATGTAACTTAAGTGCTTTGTGTGAATTTGAATGCTAATTATGTGTTTTATATGATTTTTTTGGATTTGTATCTATTAATCGTAGGAATATCTATTATGATTTTTGTTATGATCTGAAATTGAAGGCATTAATGGTGTCAGAAACTGAAATTGAATAGTTTAATGTGAATGTCATAATTTTTACAACCTTATGGGAAGTTCGATTAAAATTTTATTCATATTAATTTATTAGATTAAACTAATGAGAATTAAGTGTAATTAGTTAATCTTAAGCCTTAATTAACTCCCTAATTAAATCCTTGTGTATATATGTGTTGTAATTAAGTGTTTGAACCCCTTAATCATAACTGGAACTAAAAAAATTCTAAAATTAGATTCTAGAGAGAGACTGAGAGCAAGTTTGAGCTAATAGTTTCGAGTTGAATTTATACTTACGTGTTTTCAAGGGTTTGATTTTACACTTTAAATACATGTTTTGAAGTTCAAATTCAATTATGGAAAATCCAGAATTCGACCGCATCGCTCGAGCGAAGAAATTTTCGTTCGAGTGCACATCTCATGCATCTTGTATTTTTGCAGACACTTGCAATTGGCTCGAGCGGTCAAGTTACTACTCGAGCGACTGCCTTTTTATTTTGAAGATTGGCTCAAGTGACCATCGAGCCTAGATTCGAACCATCTAGTACTTTTACAGACCATGTGGTTTGCTCGAGTGACCAATGTTATGCTTGAGCAAAGTGCCCTATTTCAGCATATTTTGAAAAATCATACTCTGATCACATTTCTATTCTCGTTCGCTTCTGAGCATTCTTAAGCATGACTTGAACATCCTAAATGAATTAAAAAGTTAGAATAAAGCCTACGAGAATTGAATCAGTTAGAGAATGATTCGAATGAGTAATGAGATTCAATATCTGTATGTTTATGAATTGTGTAGGATCATCCGCCAGGACGTGTCAACAATTGAATCACTATGAATAATATCTAAGTAAATATATTTTCTTATTTACTCTATTTTTTGAATGGCCTAATGCGGTAAGTTTTTCCGAGTCTATGATTTTGCAAGTATGAATGAGTTTCTATCTGTCTGATCAACATGATATTTACAAATGTGTTTGATGAATTTTGAATAAATATGAAGGACCTAAGGTCGTTCTATATATCTGAAATGGACCCAAGGTCATTCTATATATTTGATAAGATGGACCCATGGTCGTTCTGAATATCTGATAAGCCAGAATATTCATCATATATTGACCTAATGGTCATTATAAAGCTATAATTGATTAAACCCGAGGTCGTTGTACCTAAGGTCGGTCTAACAAGTATGATCTGTTTTGTTTTGTATCTCTATATACATTAGACCTAAGGTCATTCTGTTATGTTTTGGACTCGAGGTCATTCTGCTATATGTAATATGAGAATGATTTATTTATGTTTTAGAACTTATTCATATAGTCTTACTAGGAATAACCCGTGCCTGAAGGCACGGTCAATAATTTTTTTGGTACCACACGAATTATGAAATTTAATTGTAATAAATCAATTTAAAATGATATATCACTCCAATTTAATACTTCACAAATAAGAAGTTGAAACTGTTTCTACATAGTACACTGGCAAAAACATTCATAAATTTCAAATAACAAACTTCAAAATTACAGTCCAAATAATAAATTTTATATTACAGTGTAGCATAAGCAAATAATAGAATCTAAAAATATTTGCTAAAATTCAAGTCCAAACAACAAATTTTAGAATTCAATCCACGCTAAAATGACACATTATAGCAAACCTTCAATGAAAGGATGTTACTGAATTAGTATCATAACTGGTAACCTTTTCAGTTTATCAAATTTCAATACCTTCAAGAAAAGGTGAACGAATATTTTGGTACAAAAGAGTAATCATCCTATCTAACTAAAAATAATAATAATTAACCATTCGGTTTACAATGAGAGCTAACCAACTACACACATAAAGAGAAGCAACAACCCAACGTTTCCAATACGAATCAGCCACCTACAACAAAATCACTCGCTTAAATTCACTTTAAAAAACCAATAGCTATGAGAAATCACATTAAAATACATATGAGAAATCAACAAAATGATTCTTTAAAAGAAACTCTAATTTGACAACAAAATGAACTCATTGCAGTAATCAAAATAATTTGAAGAGAAATAACAAATGCATAAATAACTTAATATAATATTATTGAATCAGATGATTTTACGGTTTCAATTTGAACAATACCAAAAAAACTCAACAAACCCATGTTTAAGAGTTATAATTGCATGTTTCACAATTTTTTGCAATGATCTTTGACCAAAAATCATAGAATCCAAAAATCAACTCAATAGGCAGGATAACAAATAGAGTGAATATTAAATTAAATTGAGTGAATATTGTTTTGTGTCTTATACATAACAGGATAACATACTAAGTGAATATTTATATACAAATTAAACAACATAGAAATTAAAGCTCTATTTCTTTCTCTAAAAAAAAGGTCTCATCAAATGGTTCAACAATTAGAAACCAACCTCTCTATATCTCATAATGGTTCATCAATTCTCATTTCTGTCTAACCCATTTTCGTCAAATTTATAGTCTCTGGCAATAAAACCTATCAATTTTGACCCACTTCAATTTAAAATATCAAATTTAGTAAATAATAATTTGAATTTGAATACATAAAGATATCCAGTTAAACTAACCTAGAACAATGAAACTCTTAACAACCAATTAGAGAATTCCAAGAAAATACAAAGACTTTTGCTAATGAGATTAATTAAAGCTTGAACAGTATGATACTACAAATTCAAACCAATTAACTCATGAATTATTTTGTTAAGAGCCTATTCGTTGAAATAGAAAAATGAAATGTGGTTTAGATTTAACTAAGACAAAATATAAAAATAAAAAATAAAAAAATAAACATAACAAAGAAAATCCATGAGCATCAAATCACATGCAGGAAAAAAAAAAAAAAAAAAAAAGACTCTGCCACAGGCAGGAACAAATCTAGTAGTCCATGCCTCAACTGATGAGCATGACAAATTTGGTAAAAAAAAAATTGTATTTTTTGATGACATGACAAATCTCGTACTCCATGGCGTAACTCAGATTACACCTAATCCTACATTCCTAAACATGTATCAATGTCAGCATTAAGAAAAGCATAGCAATAGAAAGGATAACAAACTGAGTGAATAGTAAATTAAACTTAGTGAATATTGTTGTGTCCTATACATGGCGAGATAACATATTGAGTGAATATTTATATACAAATTAAATAACATAGAAATTAAAGCTCTATTTCTTTCTCTAAAAAAAAGGCCTCGTCAAATGGTTCAACAATTAGAAACTAACTTCTCTGTATCTCATAATGGTTCATCACGTTTCATCTCTCTCTAACCCATTTTTGTCAAATTTAAATTTATTGTCTCTCGCAATAAAATCTATCAATTATGACTCATTTCAATTTAAAATATCAAATTTAGTAAATAATAATTTGAATCAGAGAATTCTAAGAAAATACAAAGGCTTTTGCTAATGAGATTAATTAAAGCTTGAACAGTATGATACTACATATGCAAACCAATTAACTCATGAATTTAAAAATTTAACTCATGAATTCTATAATTCTGTTAAGAGCCTATTCGTTGAAATAGAAAAATGAAATGTGGTTTAGATTTAACTAAGACAAAATGTTAAAAAAAAAAAAAAAAACACATACTATAGTTGATTTCTTAAATCATTCATTCTTTCTTGCTCCCCCCTACCCCACCCATCCCAATTTGATTTTAATAAATCCAAATAATGATAATTGTAAGAATTTTTTTTAAAAAAAACCATACTTATAAATTTCCAACACAACCAACCAAAGAAATAATCACAAAATAACAATGATCAATCATTGCTTAAGTAAGAATACAAATCAAATATTTACCACAATGTTTTGATATGAAAGGTCTTAAGGAAGTTCTCAAGCTGCCTAATGTGAGCCTATTAAGCAAACACAATGCTTCAGACACAATGTATTGGACACACCTGATCAAATATTAGACCTAATCACAAACTGTAAACATCAATAAAGCAATTAAATTGGACAAACCTGCTGGAAATTAACAAACCTGCTAGAAATTAAAGATTATTGAAACAAAAGATATCAAAAAATTAGAGTATGTTTCAATCACAAACTGAAAACATCAATAAAGCAATTAGATTGGACAAATCTATTGTTAACCTGCTGGAAATTAACAAACCTGCTGGAAATTAAAAATTATTAAAACAAAAGATATCCAAAAAGTAGAGTAAAGATTATTGAAACATATTACAGTAAAGATTATTGAAAGAAAAGAATAAACCTCCATCCATGATGGAAATATACTTGCTGGACCCAAAAAAGATTGGTTATTGAAACACATTAGAGTAAAGATTCTTTTGCTAAACGTTATACTATTAACATTCTATAAGATTGCTTATCCTGTGCCCCCATTACACTTGAACTCATTAAAGCACAGGATGAGAAACCACAAGAGAATCATATTATTGAACACGGACTCTAAAAACAGAAATCTCGTTTGGTTTTACGTGGCAATCTGAAACTTCTCCATGGTCAGTATTCTTGCACACTACATCTTTTGTAGATGCTATGCTATAGAAATTAGAGTGAACTAAATCTTAAACTAAGGTTTTGATCGTTGCACATGTATGGGTGGGAATAATCAAAAAGAAAAATAGGCTTGAAGGGATTTCGAGTACATTATTCTTTTTAAACACTTAATCAGCGAATCCTACCTATTAGTGAAAATTTACGACTAAACGTTCACAATCAAAATAGAACAAAAATTGTCTTATGTTAAAAGCTTATAAAAATTGGCTTGTACAAAAGTTGTTTAATGGACCTCCGCTTATAATTACCAAAAAAAAAAAGGACGATTGATATAAAAAATTATAACAAATTTTGCTAAAAGCTTAATTATAGTACACTTACAATCTTATGTTAGTCAATATTAGATAAATGTAAAAAAATTAATAATGAGTATAAATGAAAATAAAAATTTTATCCTTCAAAGTTTATTTTAGTACTTTTAAACAATAAGGAAAAAATTAATTGATATGCACCTTCCAGAACCAGTTAAAACCCAACAACCACCACTACCAATTTCTATCTCTCACATGCATTTTTTCAAACACCTTATATGCATTGTTAAATATACAAACAATAACTGATCTTTCCTCAAAATAAAGTAAAAGAACATATTATAGTGTCACTCTCAACCATTTCATCAAATATAGTTTATCTGAAAATCAATCATAAAACAACAAAGTAAAAATGGTAAAAGGATAATTGTCAAGTGAGGTATGTGTAATTTGCCCATGCAATTTTATTTTCTTTCTATTGAGATTATTTTCTTTGACTTTGTTTGTGTCGTTGGAGTTAAAGAATGAAGAAGGAGGATTCGTAGGTGACCACTATCAATTGTCATAGTTGATAAGGTTGGTTCAATTTATTTATTTCTCAAAATTATTTGGCTATTTGTAATATTTGTATTATATACAGGAAAAACATAATAGATATCAAAAATTCATATAATAACACTGCTCAAGTAATTTATAAATTTTCTACCAATTGAGTTCTTATTACTTCGGTGGTTTAACACCTGAATATCCTTATAAAAATATGTCAATCTTATTGTCTTGTTTATCTAAATTTGCCTCTATGTATAATGTGCAAGTGAGGCATGTGTAATTTGCCCATACAATTTTATTTTCTTTCTTTTGAGATTATTTTCTTTGACTTGGTTTGTGTCGTTGGAGTTAAAGAAGAAAAAGGAGGATTCGTAGGTGATCACTATCAACTGTCATAGTTGATAAGGTTGGTTCAATTTATTTATTTCTCAAAATTATTTGGCTACTTATAATATTTGTATTATACACAGGAAAAACATAATAGATTCCTGAACATGGACTATGTGAAAAAGGCTGAAGGTGTTTTAATATGGACTATGGGAGTTACTTTAAGACCAAAGTCAACAAAAATAAATTCAAGATTGTGCCTTCATCAATAAAATCAATTGTATAATTACATATATATATACACATTTGTATATATCTGCAAATACTGATTTAGAGTAACAAACACAATATTGAAACCTGCTGGAAAAAGTGAAAGGAAAGCACAGTTCCACTTTGTCGTCACCATTGTTGATTCCCATTTGGATACTAAATTTTGCATTATATGTTTTTTTATATAATATTTCTTTTATATGTGTTTTTACTCTACATTTCACTATTTTGACTTGTAATATTGGTGAACATTATGGAAGAAATACTATTATGCAATTAAGAAAAAATCAAAGCTATTGTACACTTGTTAAACTAATTCATATGATAATACTACTCAAGTAATTCATAAATTTTCTGCCAATTGAGTTCTTATTACTTCGGTGGTTTAACACCTGAATATCCTTATAAAAATATGTCAATCTTATTGTCTTGTTTATCTAAATTTGCCTCTATGTATAATGTGCACTCTAAACTAAGTCAATGAGTGTTGACATTGGATTACCTTAAAGAAAGTTCTCATATTGCTTAAACTAATTTATAGAAAAGTCCTCAAGAAGCATTAAGCAAAACTTGAAGTGCTGTTTTGAACCCAGAATCTTGAGTCCCTTTGCATGGTTCTGTGAGATTTTATTGGCAACAATGCACCAAAATACAAAAGAAAATACAAAAACACAAAAAAGAAAAGATGTAATACTGCTAGATAAAGTCATGTTTAAGAAATCAGGAAGGCCAAAGCCACTGCCACTTGTGAAAAAAAAAGAAAAGAAATGCAACTTACCTGAAGCAAATTTTTTATGAGGTAAAGTGCTGCAGGTATGGGGTATACACTAACTTCATCCAATGTCGTACTCAACCTAACAGCATCAGGACATGCATAAGAACACAGTTTTAGCCAAAGCAGATTCACATAATCCAAAACTGAGGGATAGGAAAAAAGCAATAATGTATAGAGAGAAAGAGATGAAAGAAATGACCTGTTATCATTCGTAACGCCTTCATTTCTCCAGATTCTTACCAAGGCTGCAAGTGATAATGCACATTTCAAAGCCTCTACCTAATTCCAAAAGAATGAAACAAGAAAGTCAACTTTAAATTTCATAACATCAATTCTATGATCATCCTATCCGACTATAACTTGAATAATCATAATAGCCTTAACATTTATCAATAGAAAATAATCATAATAGCCTTAACAATGATAGTTTAGTTAATGTCCTTAGAACCATCTCAGCCGGAGAATATTATTTCCTCACCATGAAATTTGCAGTTGTAATTTGAAGTTTTGACAAATTTGAATAATTTTCAATGCTTTGTTTCAACTTTTTCTGGGTTTTCATTACAAAGTGTGGTTCCATTGAATACATGGATTAAAGTTTTGAAAAACAAATCTTAGAAACACAAACACATACCTAATCACACAAACCTAACACAAACCCAAGCCCAAACACATCAGTTTAAGGTTTAGAAAAATAAATATTAGAAACACAAACACAAACTAAAATCTTAGAAACACAAACCCAAACACATACCTAATCAACAAAAATAAAAAATCACACAAATCCAACACAATGAAACAATTCGATGAAATGATTAAACCTTACGATGCTAGACGGTCAGAGTAAACCAATCTGCCGGAGTGAACAATGGCAACCGGGCTGCAGGAGAACAATGGTTGGAGTGGTCGGAGTGAGAAATGAAAAAAAAGAATTGGAGAGAGAGGGAGAGAGAGAGGGAGGGAGAGAGGGTCTGTGTTCAAATTTTGAAATTTGGAATGGAGAGACAGATTTTGAGATGAGAGGAGTAGGTGTGAGGGAGATGCATTTTGAGATATTTTGGGATTTACATTTGAACAATGGCAACCGAGCTGCAGGAGAACAATGGTTGGAGTGGTCGGAGTGAGAAATGGAAACAAAGAATTGGAGAGAGAGAGAGAGAGAGAGAGAGAGAGAGAGGGGAGAGAGGGTCTGTGTTCAAATTTTGAAATTTGGAATGGAGAGACAGATTTTGAGATGAGAGGAGTAGGTCTGAGAGAGATGCATTTTGAGATATTTTGGGATTTACATTTTGCACCATTAGATGTTTATGGTAATTGATCTCAACCATTGAAATGTCCTTGTAGGACAAATGAGAATAAGACATTTTTAGCCCTTGAATGAAGCAATCTGATGATTCACATTTTGACACATAGACATTTTCAATTTTGAATTCAAAATCAGCCTTCCATTGTTATATAGATGTTATTCACTGGGCTTTCACTTATTTTGTTATATATGCATATGTCGGTCAACAGCTGGATGTCCAGCCCCAATGAACCTATGGAGTTTACCGAGTTTTGTGGAGTCTACCAAGGAACGCCTTACAAACAAGTCTTTTGTCTTTTGATCTTTTTGTTTTCTTTTGTTGGTCATGTTTGACCATATCTGTACTTAAGTTTTGGTTTTATATGATAATGACCTATGTTTGATCTTGGACATGTGAGATCTTTTATGTATGTATGGGTGTGAGTTATTAATATAGCAAATGTTTTTGTTCATGCCATTGATGCACAAGCTTATTAGACAAATTATACATTCTACTTCCACTTCTGACCCCATATAATTAAATATGATTTGATTTCTGTCTGAGGTCATAGGTAATCTCATGATTACTGGCCGATTATGCTCCAAACTTCTAGGGGTGGGTTCAGGTGTTTTTCCTGGAAGGTGTTTTTCCTCGTCACCTAATACATCGCAGGTGTGAACTACTTGTTCACAGGAGCGATCTAGTAAACTTAACAATATTCTGTCAACAAGAATAGTTTAATATAGGGTTTCTGAAGATAAAAATCCCTATGGGAGATATAATAAAACTCCAAAATAGATACCATTCCACAAACAAAACTATTACAAAAAAAAAGAAAAAGAAAAAAAAGGGGCCAGGTCTTAATTCTGGTGGCTATAACCTCCTTGCCTTCGGAAATTTCGTCCTTGAAATTGGACTAAGTTAGAGAAAATAAATGCTCTATAACTACAACATCCACATGAGCTCAAAGGCAAAAAGATGTAACATTCTAAACCAACACATAACATCCTTATCTTTACAAAAGTTCACAATCCCTATATATTACATTAAAACATCAAAGTCGTAGCCAAAGGAGTCAAGCACTTGAAAACAAATCTGGATACTTATCGCGGGCCTCATCCTCATGCTCCCAAGTTGTCTCTTCGATCCCATGGTGTCGCCACAACACTTTAACAAACGGAATAGTTGCCTTGCAAGACTTGCTCTTAGGTATCCAAAATTTGAACCAGTCTCTTCTTATATGAGGCATCCTCATCGACCTCTAAGTTTGTCCAATCCAAAACATGTAAAGGATCAGGCTTATACTTTTAAAACATACAAATATGGAACACATTATCAACCCTGGAAAGTTGAGGTGGTAAGGCCAAGTGATAAGCTATCTCTCTGATTCGCTCCAAAATCTCAATAGGCCCAATAAACCTTAGAGATAATTTCCTACTCTTCCTGAACTTAATCAAACCTCATCTTTGTAGATCTTGAGAAACACATGGTCCCCCTCTTCAAAAGATAATGGTCTCCTCTTACGGTCAGCAGAGCTCTTCTAACGACTCTAAGCCACAACTAACCTCTTACGAATCAGCACAACCTTCTTTGTCATTTTCTGAACCAACTCTGGACCCAACATAGGTGCATCACCCACCTCGGCCCAACACAGGTGATCTACAAGGTCGACCATAGAAGGCTCAAAAGGTGCCATTCTTATACTTGCCTGAAAACTATTGTTGTAAGCTAACTCTGTCAAAGGCAAGTGCCACTCCCAAGACCCCTTAAAGTCGAGAACATAAGCTCGAAGTATGCCCTCTAAAATCTGAATAGTCCACTCAGACTGCCCATCGGATTGAGGATGATAGATGGTGTTAAAGGTCAATTTAGTGCCCAAGGCACTCTATAAGCTCTTCCAAAACTGAGCCATAAAACACGGATCTCTATCCGAGATGATAGTCACTGCGACCCCATGAAGTCGCACTATGTCCCTAACATATAAGTCAACCAAAAAATCAACTGAGTCACTTATGCACATAGTTATGAAATCTGCAGACTTAGTCAATCGGTCAACAACTATCCGTATGGCATCACTACCCCATTGAGTCCTTGAAAGACCCACAACAAAGTCCATCATAATACACTTCCACTTCTACTCGACTATTGGCACGGGTTGTAATAAACCCGCTAGTCGTTGGTGCTTGGCCCTCACTTATTGACAAGTAAGGCACCTTGAAACACACAAGGAAACATCTTTCATCATCCTCTTTCACCAAAACTGGTGGCAAAGATCATAGTACATCTTCGTGCCTCCCAAGTGTACCACAAGGCAAAAATGATGAAACTACCAGAGTACCTTTTCTCTACAAGACATTGGCACAAAAAGACAGCCTAGATATCTCACACTCAAGTCAGAATGAACATTCAAGCCCTTCTCTACCTTCTGACTAGAGATCTTCCCTCGGATAGATTTCACCTCATGATCATGCTATTGTGCCTCAATAACTCGACTAACCAAGGTAGGTTGTGCAACTGCAGTAAATAAAGTGGCCAACTCAATGGACTCGCGATGATGTAAGTCAAACTCATAGATATATAACACTCAATATCTCCCATTCCCAGATGGCAACATTAGTTACCGTGCTCGTAGACTTCTTACTTATGGCATCTGCCACTACATTAGCCTTCCCTAGGTGATAATGCAGCTCAAAGCTTTAATCCTTAATGAATTCCATCCACATCCTTTGCCTCAAACTTAAGTCTTTTTGTGTGAAAATATATTTCAGACTCTTGTGATCAGAAAACATCTCAAATCTCTCCCTATACAGATAATGCCTCTAGATTTCCAAGGCAAAAATCACCACCGCTTGCTCTAAGTCGTGTGTAGGATAGTTCCTCTTGTGTGTTTTCAATTGTCGTAAGCTATAGGCTACGTTCTTCCCCACTTGCATCAAAACATAACCCAAACCCTCTCAAGATACATCACAGTACACTTAATAGCCCAAATCTCTCTCTAAAATAATCGAAATTGGGGCGGTGGTAAGCCTTGTCTTAAGCATTTGGAATGACTTTTCACAAGTTTCACTCTACACAAACTTAATCCCTTTCCTCATCAATCTAGTTAATAGCGAAGCCAACCTAGAGAAAATTTTCACAAAACGTCAATCTATAATACCCGACTAAGCCCAAGAAACTATGGATCTCAAAGGCGTTCTTAGGTTGCTCCCAATCCTAGGCAGCGCCAATCTTAGATGAGTCTACAGTCACTCCTTCCCCGGACACGACATGGCTGAGAAACTTAAATTCACTGAGCCAAAACTCACCCTTCCCAAACTTGGCATACAATTGGTGTGGTCTAAGCTAATCAGGTACAACTCACAAATGTCCTTCATGTTCCTCCTCAAAAGGTGAATAGACTAAAATGTCGTCGATAAAGACAACTACAAATCAATCTAGAAACTTCCGAAAGACTCAATTTATCAAGTCTATAAATGAGGGCAGCGCATTGGTTAGCCCAAAAGCCATCACTAAGAACTCGTAGTGGCCATACTGCGTACGGAATGCCGTTTTATGAATGTTCTCCTCATTTACCCTCAACTGGTGATATTCCAATCTCAAATCAATTTTAGAAAAACAGCGAGATCCTTTCAACTGGTCAAAAAAATCATCTCTTCGAGTCAATGGGTATTTGTTTTTGACAATTACCTGTAGACACCCCATTTTTGACCGTCTTTGAGACTTGGGCACCACTGATTGGATCATTTGATGGTGTAGGCTATGCAGTGCAATGGTTCGATTTCTTCGGCAAGAGGAGAAACTCAAATCCCAATCTCATACCCCATTTTTGGACCAAAACTATTTTGAATGGTTTTTAGACCTTAAAACCCTATATTTTAAAATATTTTCGAAAAAAAAGTTTCCACGATGTGCCGAGGCTCGCATTTTGTTAAATGTTGCGCTTTTCGGTAAACCGAGCAAGGACAAAGTAGAAATGAATGGAAGAGAGGTGAAATCTTTGAAAAATATTTCAAAACACCTTATTTGGGGGTTTGGGGTTGTAGAAAAGAGGAGAGGAGGAAAGAAAACTAGCTGAGGAGCAGTTAGGCATCAATTCGAGAGGACCAAAATTGAGCAGTCTTCACTAAAAGGGACATAACTTTTTTCACAGTTGGAATTTTGATGTGAGGTTTCCACCATTAGAAAGCTTACTACCGGGGCTTCAATTTAGGCACACGAATGACCTGAAAAGGAGTCCCGATGAAGGAGATATGCCCATTTGAAATTTGACCTGCAGAGTAGATTTTTGCTGCCGGCCACTTGAAGTAGCCGACTGGCCACTAAGGTCCCAAACTCAAATATTTTGCAAATATTTTCCCTCCAACTATTTTCACATTGCTCCGGCTATCTGTTTTGCAGATATTTCAACCAAGGCTCTTGTATTGCTATATATGGAGGCCATATCTCATATTTTGGAGGGTTAGAAAAGTTTGGGAGCCTCTCTCTCTACATTCCTCTCTCTCTAGAGTTCTCTCTCTCTTGCCCTTTTGTGCATAGAAGTAGAGAAGCACTTCTAGTTTGCCTAGACATCCTTCATCAAAGTTGAAAATCTTTGGGCTGAGGTCCCTCGGAACATATTTCTGGGTTGTTGGAAGGTTGTTTGAGCTTAAGAAAGTGGCTGATTTGTGCTGAGCTTCAAGAGGTATAACTCTCTTCCTTTTAGCTTGTATTACATA